GAAGGGTGCGACTGGCGGGTTGTTTTCTACGCTCGCGGGTATGAGTCGGTTGGAGGATGAGGAAGAGTTCAAGTTTGTTGGGGAGGACACGCAGGGAAAGCATAATGTGGAGATTGAGATGGGGAGGGTTAGCGATGATAGTGCGCAGAGGACTGCGACGGGCGGGATCAGTGTGCAGAAGAATTGGAGTGTGTTGGTTGATGAGAGGAGGGTAGGCCAGCACCGGTAGTCACGGGTGGAATACACAAGGAAGTGTTTTGTACAAAAAGAAAACGGTGGATATATGGATACACTAATTACACGACGAATAACGAGGTCATGTTATATACATCTTGTCATGTCAACAAGTTACATTGATACGCTCGTCTGTTGGGGATTCCAAGCTTGCGTGTTCGACATCTTGCTATCGCCTGCGTCGAAGTTGAAGAAATGAATACAGGGAAGAATGATTGCGAAAATGCAAGTCGCAAGGCGCAAATTATGGGGTATCACAGCACTAATCCACGACAGTCTCAAACCCAATCTCCAGCTCAACTGAACGGTACGCAGGACCGCATGGAAATCTTCTTGCTCTTTGTAAAATACCCAGGGTACGTCGATAGGTCATCTCGGACTCCTTGGATCCTCGGTCGATGCGCACCCTTTCGTCCATGGACATATCTTCGGGTAACTGGAAGATGAGGAAGCTGCAGTCGGCTTTGGTCTGATTGCATATGAGACCGAAGAAGTCTTCACACGTTGTTTCCTTTCCGGTGAACATCAAACTGCCGTAAGACCAAGTTGGTCCAGGGCCGATTGGCTGGCCCGGTGGTTTGGTGCGATAAATCCGTAATTCAACTTTAAAGGGCGACGGCCCGGGTGAAATCGCGCTTCTCCTGCGGGTCGGACATCCTGTCTTGGTGCCCATCACCGAATCTTCAGACGTATCGGAGTCATCATCTGTATGGTCTTCTTCGGAACGTGCGCGTTGAGGAGCGGGTTCGTCTGCTGTTGTAGTCGTACCAGTGCTGCGTCTCTTCCTCACTGGTATTTTCTCGCTTAGGGCTACGAATCTGCAACCTTGAAACCAAGGCTTATTATCGATATTTAGGTCTCTTTTCTTGTATGTCAGGGCTTTCATGTATGTCCTGTTTATGAAGGTCTCTATGTCGGAGCGAGTCTGCCTGCAGAGAATCATGCCCAGCAGGTGTTTCTTGAGGCTGGTTTCATTAGCTCGCACCCAGTACCTGGATGAGCGGACTTACGTGGTATTGTCTCTCGGATAGATCAAATCAGCCGGATATCGGGTACCCTCTTGTGGTTTTCGGAGATGGTCTCTACTTCCTTGACCAGGCTCAGGCCAGATCAGGGGACCATACTCGACTAACAGCTGGTCTAGCTCTTTATCGAGGAGCATGGGATCGTGTCGATCGATGACAGTATTTGCATCGTGTGCATCGCGTAGTAGTAGACCAAGCAGAGCGGGTACCTCGAGTTCGTGGATTGCAGTGGCGGGCTCATACCTGAACACTGGTTTTCTCATAACGAAGCCCGGTTCAATCCTCTCCCTCCCATACGTCTGAAGTCCAAGACATTCTATATGATGAGCAACGCCAATTTCGCCTTTTTGCCGCCCCATTGTCGGGTATAGTGGTGATTTGATGGACAAAAAACCAATTGGCAATTGTGATGTACACCGCAGCTGGCGACGTCGGTGTCAAGCGGTGAGAGCTTGCGAATAGATTCCGGACGTGGTGGTGATGGAGTGGGCAGCGGTTTAAAGCAAGGCGCCTTCCATCTAGACTCCGGTCGAGACAGACGCGTCCTCGCTCCTTCGTTGTTTACTTGACGCGTCCTCAATTGGCGAGGAGGAGCTTTCGTCTTATTCGTGCTCACTGATACAACTCCTGCATTCCGATGTCGCGTGCTATACGTATCGCGACACGGTTGTTCGCGTTAAAGTGAGAAGGGAGATGGGATGTACCATGGCGGTGCTGCGACGGAGTTAAAATGCCATCCAGAATTGTAGGCCAATTAAAGCCCTGCACGAACGCTAGCGCGCGCAGCCGCATGGTGCAACAACAGACCGCCATCACCACCTACCAGTCGCTATCCGACATCTCGCCGGCATGCCACCCAAACACTCGGGCATGCCGCCCCAGCCCCAAAGAGCACGGAAGAGTGTGCGCCCACCTGTGTCGAGGGCCCCGTCAACAAGCTGCAAACGCGCCCGTGAGCCCAGTCTCGACAACAACAGCCCTCAGCCTGGTGACGCAATCCGGTTGCAAACACCCTCCAACTCAAATGAAGTAAACACCAATTCCAAGGCGGCATCTCCAGAAAGCGATGCGCAGCCGGCACGTCGTAGCGCGTCGAGCGAACTGACTTCGCCAATGATGTCACCTAGGCTGCGTGCACTGCAGGCATCTATGGAAGAATCTCGAAACACCAGTCCTAGGAAGAACTCCATCTCGTATGGTTGCTTCAACTCGCAACCTCACCTAAAGGGTCATTTTTATTCGGCCAATCAGCTCTTTGCGCGGGGCGTTTGGATTGGCTACCTGGCCCCGGACAGGCAAACCCAGTCATTCCGAGGGCTACCCTCCTTTCACGACTTGAAGGCCAATTACAAGAAGTTCACTCCTCCACACCCTCCTATAGTATCAGGGAGTCCTAGGGAGAATCGCAACGCTGTCTGCCGAGGCTGTGCTAGGGAAGACTCAGCTGTTATTGCCTTCAGCGAAGTGCAGTTCGGACCGAAGGTTGTGAGTTGTACCGAAATACATACAGTCCATGTCGTCCAGATTGTTGACAAAATACAGAAAGTCGTTATTATGCCGCTCGATGGCGACGACGACGCTGGGGTTTTTGCCATCATGCTACCTCAGACGAGTGATAGGTCTTTAAAGGGTCTTCAAGCCTATCGCCCCTACGAGGTAAGACTCGGATCAACGAATAGTACATGGAAAAAACATACTGACCTGACATCTAATGCTGCAGATCAGTGGAGGTGGTCTGGGAGACAAGTTCGCCAACAATTTCATGATGCTCACACTTCGCAATCCTGACAGCGATGCTGGCACATTAGAGACCGTGCTCTCGGTGTTGTCTCCGCAAGAGCGAGCTGACATCGCCTCGAAGCTTAGGGGACTACCGGAACCAAGACAGCGTCTCTCTTCTACCCCCAAGCTATCGAAATCCACTGATGAAGATGCTGCACCTTCAGCACCGAATGCCGCACCTCCAGCATCGAATGCCATGGCAAAGGTCGATGACGATGAAAGCGATGCTCATACTAAGCAACCCGCCGCGAGGAAGCGGAGAAAGCTTAGCGAAAATAGGACCCAGATGTCGAACGTGATCGAGGTTGTTCCCAAGGAAAGCAGTACATGCCCTTCACAGTTGCAACCACAACAACAACCGACGCCACAACCTGTACCTGAGCCACAGCCAGAGCCGGAACCCCAACCCCAACTTCAACCCCAACCCCAACCCCAACCCCAACCGCAGCCACAGATACATACACAGACTCAACGAACGTCAGAAACACCTGTCGACGATGTCAAACAGCATGCTCCAACGCCCGCGGATACATTCAAACCTCCGCATCAAGCCATCAAGCGCACAAACTCTACCAGCATCATCTCTCTTGATTTGACCGACGAACAAGCCGAGCGCGTGTATTTCATTTGGTCGGTCGACGACGAAGGCATGGAAATGGAGTTTTATCACACGCTACGCGAATGCAAGTCTTTTGGAGGCCTGCTCGGCCTGCTGGAGGAAGAGAGTGAGGACCTACCCTGTGTTGCGAGCATATTGGAGAAAACCAAAACCTGGAAACTGACATACGATCTTGGTGACGGTATCAGCAAAGCGATCGTAGCCCGCAAAGGCACGGAGACCGCATTCGATCGTCTACAGACTACACTTGCTCAATCGTCTATCTGGGCAGACAATCCTCAAGCAAAAGTCGATATCGTACTCAAGTCTTTGAGCCGGCCAAACCCTGCTTGAGCGACATGAGCAACGGTCATCGATAATTCTCTTCCTAGAATTCCAGCCTCGGCGTTCTTCGAAGGTGTGCTCTTCCTCACTTTCTCTAGAATCTGTATACCATTGAGTACATCGATGGCTTTTTGCGTTGTCCTACATATACCCCGATCATTTCTGATCTTTCGCGTGCTAGTTGGTCGAAAGCATCGATACCAGGCTGGCTGTTGTATAGCACTGGTGCTCCATGAGGCCGGGCAGGATCCAGGCAACTCATAAAATGTATCTACATACGATTACTAATGACGATCTCTATGTGGCCTTTTCTCGCAAAACTTGCAGAGCCTCTGTTTGAGTGTGTGCATATGCTACAGCACGTGCGATGATGTAGTAATTCCCCATCGCCTGTACACCAGCGAAATCTGCCCGCCACTGCGCATCTGATGTCAGTCGCGCCAATAAGTGGAAAAGGAAGTGCAGTCGTATGCATAGACCTGGGCCACAAGACATTACTGTCAGCAGCGGTGAGCTGCATTTCGCCACCTCGTAGACGAAGAACAATGTGCACAATGCCTTGTGTAAGTGATTTGGGGGGATCGTCGGCTAACGCGATATTCCAGCCAATCGGCAGCAATTGCCCTCTGGTTCCGCCTGCCATTCCCAGGCGGGTGCCGCTAACCTGTAGACGAAGCTTTCATACGCCGCTATGGTTTCTTCATCTGTACTCTTATCATCTATCGTGTTCTCGATTCATCTTTGAGAATGTCGTTCGTTTTCCTTGCGCGCCCCATCACTGACTCGTACATGCTCTAGACGGCCCTTTGGCGAAATTGCACGATCTGGCTGCCCCGGTCCTGAGAGCATCTGCATGTAATCATACCCGAGAAAATCAGCACTACACATCACACCTCCCTTGCATAGTCGCGACACCACAACGCTCGGAACTCATACGACTGTGTACGGCTGCATCGCTAGCCTACATTTAATTCACCTGGCGAGATTTTGCGATCCATGCATCTAGCCCAGACACCATGGACGGCTCAGCTATCACATACGCAACGTCCAAGGACTGGTTGGACATTATGAAGAATCGGTCAAAAGTGCGTATGCACGAGCTGATCGAGCGTCTTGGGTTGCGCGCAAAGTGGTCATCGAACAAACGCGGTAAAACAAACTTTGAATCCGCCCTCGTACGCGAGCTTGTTGCAGACATGGGCGATGTTGTCTCCACGTTACCGAAAGAGCCGGATGAGCTGATGAAGTTTCTGAGCGACGAGGGAAGTTTGAAAGAGCAAGTCGATGGCTTACTTGAGAAACATGGCGCCAAGGTCTGGGGAAGAGTGGGCGATCGTGAGCATCTAATCACCGCGAATGAACCCGGAGTCGAAGAGGGACTCTACCCGCGGGATCTTTACTTGGAGAACGAGGAAGACAGAGCATTGTAAGTACATAAGTTCGAGAGCACATCCGTCTTGAATTTGGGCCCTCGTAATAGTGCCGAAACCCTACTGACCCACCACGCAGAATCCACAAACTTCTCCATTGGTGGATCGGGCTGAAAGCATGCAACGTCATTCTTGCGCGCGAACGCCTGGATCGCGAGAGACGAAAGAAGGCAGAAAACCGCCAGGCGCGAGCTGATGCCGAGTTTTCTGGCCAGCAAGAGGGCGGCACCCCAGCATCATTTGTTGCGCTTGCGCCAAACTCGGTGTTGCACGACGGCGATACAGCGTCACGTGGAAGCCCAATGTCGTCAAGTGCAATGCTCACACCTCCGGAATCTGGGGAAAGTCCCACTATGGGACCGCGGGAAGGAGGCGGGTTTACAGCTGTCAATGGCGGTGGACATGCAACGAATGGCAATGCCGCCTTTACATCGGCGAAAGCCCACGAGCAACAGGCTACACAACAATCTAACATTGCCGAGGGTGTCTGGAACAAACTCACAGCTGAAGCGAACAAATCTCGGTATCTCAGTACGATGTCAGGCCCTGCTCCTACCCACGCTGCACATCCTACCGAGACCAACGCAGCGGCACAACAGCAAATCACCGACGCGACCCAAGCGGCTGCTGATCGACAAGTCAGTGTCCAAATGGCCGCGCTGGTTGCAAGCTTTCGGTCGGATGACGGTGTGCCAGAAGAGCTCCCGCAACCAAACAACAGCATACCCTACCGTGGTTTAGACTACGACGGGTTACGGGCGCTACGGCAGTACATTTATGGAGAGGAACGAGGTGTTTCAATGGACGAGGAAGCGCTCCTCAACCAACTCGAAAGAACATGGCGAGAAGGCGTTCGAGCCGACTACAATAAGATGATCGAAAACATACCCGTTTTCATTGCGAGGGAACGAGCATTTCTGACTTGGGTGGAACTCAAGCGCCACCTGGCAGCTCTATTACGAGCAAACGAACGTACGTTTTACCAACTGCCTTTGCATCCATTCTATCTATACTTATCTTACTGCAGGTTGGTCAGCCGAAGGCCACACAGCCGCCGAGATCGAGAGGCGCATCCAACAGCACCGCACGCTTATGGGCTGCACGCAAACCATCATCGCCAATTTTGAAGACGTGGGTCGAGGATTTGGTCTCGGCCCCAACGTCGCTGTCGACCGCGATGAGCTCCTGCGACAGGCCATTGTGGTGTTGGCCGGAGAAAAGTACGCAGTAGAGATGCAGTGGAAGCCAGTAGATTTTACGCAAGTAATGGGCTGGCTGCACGACCACCTGGAGAGCTTCCGCAAGGAAGAAGAGGAAGATGGAAAGGGTATGCTCTGGTATATTGGCGAGTCACGACGCTAGTCGCAATTACCATGATGGAGATACGCACGTATCGTGCGCGCGGGCAGCTGTAGTCGCAAAAACTGTGTACGAGGATCATACAGGCGTTCAGGTTTTCAGGGCGACGATCGATCGCCAGGGTCGAGGCCCCCACTAGTAGGTGTCCAATTCGGGAAAATAAGCTATTCGGGTAGGTCAGCCGTAGAGTGGTGGTTTCAGCTACTTGATCATGTTACAGGACCGTGTAGGATTACACTAGCTCAGCTGTGCCACACCTCATCACCATGCAGTACGGGACTCTGCGACGCGTGATTTGCTTTAGTTTGCGATCGCCTGGAACGCGCGAGCGCATAGTGAGGGCGCGACTGTACGCAACTTCGATAGTTCGGCAGCTAGTATCCGAATGAATACACGGCTCGGCAGCACTTCGCAGTATACCTTTTCGCTTAGTGTATTCCCTGCAGCCAAGGGGCGTTGTCTTCAGGCTCCGCACTGCGCCGTAAATCTCCCTAATGCCACGTTCCTATTTTAGAGTGCAGTGACCGCGCCGCACACTCGTCACATTGCCTCACATTTTTTTCTTTCGAGCTGTGGCGTTTATCAGATCTCGCTGTACCTCCCAGCAATATTATGCGGCGCGCGGTCTGGACAGGAACCGGTTGCACAGTTGAGTAATCGCAGCTCGGTAGTACAAATCTATGGGTGAGGGACGAGCGCGTCATAGATGCATGTGTAGTTGTAACTCCTGACCATGATACCAACGACATCTATCCCCGGCTATACGAAACCGTGATAGTGCCGTTTATTCGCTGATTGCATGTGGCGGCTAATGGAGGCTTTGAGTAAGAGGATCGGATGTTTTGGCCTATGCGAGTAAGAGTTGTGCTGCTAGCGACATATTCATTTGTACCTCGTGTATGATGATTGACCCCTGCGATAGATATGATTAGCATAATGCAGCAAATGAGCACCACGCTCATAGTGCAAGTGTCGTACAATGAACAAGCAAGGGCAAAGGAGACCCGCTGGGTGTGAACGAATGAGGATGGGGCGGTACTATGATTACACCTGATGGGGATTTATTGGCGTGCGAGTCATTAACTTCGGAGTGCGGACGCGTATTACCTCTGCTCATGTTTTGTTGCGGCCCCTGCCGGATCATTGTCTCGCTACTGGACACGCCTCTTTTCTGGGTATCTTTTCGACGCAGCGTACCGTCGTTCGCCTTCTACACGTCACCGGCATCAATCATCATCACCAATCCTCCTTTCGCCGCCCAACGCCCCCCTCACCAGCGCCTGTCGGTTCCTACTCCAGAGTACAATTGCTGCGCAGTTTGTTCTTCTTGTGTGTACAGGGGCATTCAATTCTTTGTCTAGTTTGGTAGCACGATCGGCATCTGAGACTGGACAAAGTTTTTCTTGGGGTAGCAGCAGCTGGCAATAAGAAAACTTTGTTCCAAGACGGCCTAGTGGAACGTACTCCTTTTACCTTTGCCGAGCGAGCTACCATCAATCACCCCAACCTTGGAACGTCGAGCGGATCCATCACACTTTGGCGCACGCGCCATTGATTGTCATTCCCCATCCCATCCGCTTACTTTTCCATCGTCATTTTCCTACTTCCCATTTCAACTGTTGACGTGCCCGTCGTCACCCATGTGGCGCCATGAGCTCAAAGGATAACTTGGCCCTGGATCTGGAGCACGGCGTGCGACGCTGGGATCGCGCTCGCTGGATATCCGTCTTCAGCTCGCATAACCCGACTATACGCGAGGTGACGGAATGCTTGGGCCTGGGCTTATCGGCGTCTTCGTCCACGACCAACCGCGGCATTCCGAAATTCGACAACCCAGACTACCGCAAGCTCTCGAGTGAGGTGACGAAGCTGTCCAAGGAATTGCCAAAAGAAAGAGATTTGTTGCTGGATTTCGCGGCGGATCCGAGTTCCCTGAACCAGGAGCTCGAGGACCTGCTAGCGAGTTACGGACCCGCTATTTGGGGCAGGGATGCGGATCGCAGCTGTTTACTCACGCCGGATGCGACCAAGAAGACGTATAACAAAGATCTGTTTTACGAGGAGCCGGAGCATAAGGATATGTAAGTTGGAGTGGTCAGGTGTCAGGTGTCAGAACGCGCGCTAAACCTATTTTAGTCTCAAGATTCATCTGCATCGGTGGATCATCATCAAAGCTTGCTACTACATTCGCAACATGAAGTTAAAGCGACCATCGGGTGCGAATGAGTATGATCAGCTTGCAGACATTGATGCCGAAGGCCTGGTAAGTTTTGATGAGATGGTTGGTGTTGTCATCGCTAATTCAGGGTAGTCACCACATGGGACGCCACAGTCACTCACCCCACCAGATCCGGATACTGTTGCAGGCGCTGACCTTGACGTTAAGCCCATTAATCTAAAGAAGCGCAAGAGCAATGCTCACCTCACTATGTCCGACGATGAGGATCCTGAGGCTTCGCCTATCAAAAGGCCGTACAGCACTATGCCTGTGAGCCGAAAGGGCAGCCCAAGGAAGTCACTCAAGTCACTGTATCCTGCCGGCCCGGGCAGCATGGAGAACATTCCTCCCATGCCGACTCATATGCATCGTTTCTCGCCAGCACCAGGAACCGCATCTGAGCCATTGCGGATACAGCTCAGTCCTCTATCAAACAATGACTTGAACGGCGTGTCAAGGCCTCCTGCTATCACGCAAAGCTCCGCGCCCGCAGGCTTCACTGCTGTCAACAATGGAGGGTTTACTGCTGTTAACAACACGCCTCCACCGAGCGAGCCAACTCGAGAACCGACAAGGGAAGCATCCCGAGAACCGTCGAGAGAAGTGCACCGACCCCCTCCTGGTATTGGACATCGTCACAGCAACAGTTACACGAGCCCATATGAGCCGTCTTCACGCAGTGCTGCTATGGCTCGATCCGCTACGGAGACTCCTCGTTCTGCCCCGCCAGCCACTCCTACACCAGCTTCGAATCAAGGGTTTCAAGCAGTGAACGCATCTTCAGCAGCTAATGGAGCAGGTGGGTATATGAAGAGGGAGTCTCCTGCCGTTCAGCCTCCTCAGCATACAAATATCGCTCCGCAGCCACAGCAGTCGCAACCGCAACCTCAGGCACAACTGCAGCAGCAACAGACACCGTCCCACCCTTCACACCCTCCACATCCACACCAGGCATCACCGCATACACATCATTCTCAGCACACGCAGCTACCGTCACATCCACATATTCAGGCTCAGCAACAGCCTCCACCCCAACCACCAAGTCGATCTAATACCCCGAGCCACCCCTTCGGCCGTTCTCTCGCACCACACCCTCGCAGTAGATCTAGTACACCACATGCGCAGGCCGCACCTAATCAGCCTATCATGGCACCTAATAAGCAGGTTACCTCTGCACCCGCAATACAAAGCGCCCCCGCATACGGCATACAACTCGTTCCTACTACACAAGACGCACCGCCCGCGCCCTCGAGCAAACCCCGAGCGCCCTCAACCCACAGCCAACCCGCCGCCGCACCCCAACACACCTCACCGCACCAACCCGTGCTGAAAAGCCACCAACTACCGCCCCAACCCCCCGAAACCGCACACGTCGTCCAGCCCCCACAACCACAAACCTTCCCCCGCGGCTCCGTCTCGACAGCCGACCTCCGCCTCCTCCAATGCGAAGTCACAGCCGGCCTCTTCACTTTCTTCTACCCGCGCTCCACAATGCCACCCGACGAAGCCAGCCTCCTCGTCCGCATGCACACACTCTGGTACCACGGCGAACCGCTCTTCCGCACAGAACTATCCACACACTACGATCTCGTCTCCAAGATCCTCACCGCGTGGCTACACGAGCGTCAAGCTATTGCTTCACTACGGCACAGCATGGCCGCCAACCCCGGCGTGTCTCACATTGGCCTGGTAGACCGGTTGCTGGCTATGAACGATCTCAGGGCTATGCGGTTGAAGTGGAAGAATATGAGTAGTATTGATGGATTGAGTCCTGAGGATCTACTCTGTATGGCCTTTAGGGTTATGACGAATACGGAGGGGAGCGAGTATATGTTTAAAGATGGGTTGGCGAGGCTGGAGCTGGGTGTGTTTGAGTTTTTGAGGAGCGAGGATGCGAAGATTGTTATGCAGCGGAGGGATACGAGGGCGGGGTGATGTCAAGTCGGTTCAGTAGGGGATTGAGGCGGTTCTCCGACGACTCTCTCCTTCTGCTCCTCCCTTCACCTTTTCGCTTCGTCTGTTTCTTTGCTTCTGCGATCTGCTTCGGTTCTCGTACCCGTTCACATGCCATTTCTCTTTTCTCGATTCCGATCTTTCGCTTACCTTTGTACTAATGCCACTTAGCGTGGGTGGATGGGGTCCTTGCGCATGTTCCTCTCGTTTTCTGGCGTTGAACTTGCTTTTAAAACGTATTAGCGATGGCGTTTGGGATTACCTCTTTCGTTTGACTATTCCTTTTTCTGTGTTCAATACGAAAAGCGGGTGTGGACTTCGATATTAGCTTGTGTTACTAAATTGGTATGAATAGTCGTTGTAATCGGGTGGTGGGATCGAGATTGGGGGCGTGGTAATGATTGTGCGATAAGGAGTAGCGTAGTCGACTCCCATCGGAGAATGAAGCTTTTATTAATCAGTCACAAAATGAATATACCCAAGTTGTGAAAACGGTTTGTGTGATGCTGCATGCTATGAGACTTCATCTGCCAGTCGCGCAACGACCAGAATGATGAGCGATCGTCTATTGGCGTTCCAGACCAATGCGGTCGTCTGACCACACGTCCTCACGTGCACCCTCCGACCCCGGCCTCAGCGCATCATCGCGAGCTCTCGCCCACCCATCCCGACTAAGACACAACGACACCCTCTTCACGCGGCCTCGCCCCTTGCGCCCCCCTTCAGCCTTGTCATGCGAACATAGCAGGGATTAAACCTGTCCCGCTGCGATGCGCCTTCCCGGCGGCCGCCCGCCGTAGCTGCTTCCGGAACCTTGTTCCTTCACGTCTGCCTCATGACACCCTCCAGGCGCGCCAATCCGGGCACTCACCGGTAGTGCCCACGCACCTTTACTGCCATGAGCGGCCTCGTGAATGCCCCACGCGCTCGCTGCAGCCGCACACTATTTTATAGCCGTGTAGCGTGGACAGCATATGATACCACACACTATCGCTTATCCTGTACTACACCCGTAGTTTTGGCACCATGGTGCTGAGACTCTTTGTGCCGCCTGGTATGTCTCGCCGAAGATGATGTGGGGAAGCAGTTGCTAACAGAGCGCTATAGGCGAAGGGCAACATCGCCTTACTCCCAAACGCCCTGATCCCATCGGTGCGAATGCAACACCCCAGTACGCCGTCATCTCCTCGACCGTCCTCGCCGCCGCGTATACGTCCTTCGCCTCGAGATATGCACAAAGTGTGACCCCTACGAGGCCAATATCGCGGCCAGCGGTGTTTATACGGGCTTCGGCAAGGCTTGGAGTTTGGGCAGGCGTGGCTGGAGCGGCGCTGAACTGGTATTACTACTCCGCTTTTGCGGATGTTGTGGTGTCGACGAATGTACCGGAAGTCAAGCCCTGGAAGCTGTACGAGCGGACGAAGAACTATACCATTGACGATGGTGCTCTGGCAGGTGCGGCACTGGGCCTGGCTATCTCAGTGCCTACGCTGTTTATGCGCCGGCCTGCTATACCCAGGTGGACGCGCTGCTTAGGCATGACGAATATCGGTTCTTGCGCAGGTGTTCTGGGAGCGCATGCATACTTTCAGTACAGCGGAGAGAGGCAGGAGGCATACAAACAGTTTGGTCGACATGTCAAGCGACAGTCCTTCGAGTTCTGGAGCATCTTCTGGGATCCGGACCTCATGGCGAGCCTCGACCCCATCATGCAGCAATACGTCCGACACCACAGCCTCTGGTACACACGGTGGCTGTCAGAGGAGGCCTTTGAGCGAGCAGAACAGGACGTGCAACTCGAAAACAGCAGCAGTGAGCCTATGGCAGTTGCTGCAACACCTGTCGAGCAACAGCCACCGTTCTACACTAAACCCGTCGACTATGCCGAAGACCTGCGACGCATCGATATTGAAAGCACGCTGGCTATTATGGAAACCATGGAAGCGGACAAGAGGAAACTACTCCGGGAGGCCGAATACCTGCTTTATATAAACGCACAGCAAAAATACGACCACTGCCACATGGAGTCTACGGACGAGGATGAACGTCAAAACCTCCTCCGACAAATCCAACTTGTCGACATAGCATACGTCAGTCTTCGCAACGCAGCCCACGACATCGACGTCAAGCTCACACAATGGCGCATGTGCGTCCGACACAAAACCATCTGGGAAGCAGGCCAAACCACAGCGATAGGGACGGATAGGCTTGCCGACTGGATTCTCGAGCCGCAAGGCACATCACCCACGGCCGAAGTCATAGTCCCCGCCACGCACAAACCGACATACTCAATAGGCGAATTAGAAAGAATACATTGGCAGACATCTGCCGAGGTCAAGACATTTGAGGATGGTTGGAAAGACGATAGACATCCGAGGGATAAGAGGGAGAGGTGGAAGAAGGATGCAGATGATGGGAGGAATCTATTGAGAGCGGCGGATGTTGTATTGTTAAGGTTGCAGAAGGCGAGGGAGAGGGTTGAGGAAAGTGGCCGGGTCGTAGAAGCGGGGGTCGATAGCGCGATGGCGATGGAAGAGAAAGAAGTAGAGGAGGAACGTGGGGCGAGAGATGGTATTGTTTCGGCAACAACGGCTGAAGTCGCGGAGTTACAAGAAGGTCCCTTGCTTACTAGGAAACAGGTTGAGAAGTCGAGCGCGCATGGAGCACAAGCGACGAAAGCGTCTGCTGCAGCTTTGGATAAGGATAAGTCGTGAGTGGACTTGCTGAGGGTAGAGTTGAGACTATTCATTGTCCAAGTCATGGTTGAGAAGGTACCGAAGAAATCGTACCAGAAGCGAGGACTCAACACGATCAACGCTCGCATATGGGCCTGCTGTTTGTCAATGTATAGTATTGTTTTGCCCTTTTATTAAGGATCGGACGGGCGCTGGATGTCTCGTCAGGCGGATGTCTATGTATGTGGTGTAAGTCACTACCATTACTCATTCGTCCACCTCATCATGTTATTTGTCTGCCTCGAGGTCACTCTTACGTCTTCAGCATCCCTGAAGATCATTCTTCTCTTTTTCTAGTGTGTCTTGCTCTGTGTCTTTGTCCACGTCCACTTCCATTTTCACAACTACACTGCTTACCTCCCTCTCGAACGTCGTGTCACCGGATTTCCTAGAGTCTACATCCGTCCTCGCGATCTTGGCCGCGCTCGCGCAAGTGTCCACGTCGCTGCTCGGCTCGCCGGAGGGTCACGCTTCCGCTTCATATATCGCCACTGCAGTCGCCAAGCGGATGGCATGAGGAGGGGTGGTTCCAGGGGCGACTACCCGGGTATATTCCTGGGTAGGATGGCGATAGTTGACATGACCTAGTTTTGGAGACGAAGATTCTGGTACAAAAGACATCTGCATCGCGCGTTATGCCTTTACTTGAGCATCCTCATATCCACGAAAGCACTGCACGACTTCAGCCTCGTCTTCGGCCCTTCACCTTAGCCACAGGGAATTTACAGTACCACAAAAGCCTACATATTAGTACCGGTTCTAACCACGTTTGAACCTAGTGCTAGCGTAAGCTGCACTGTCCATCTTGTCTCCCAGCCCTGTACCTACTGCTATCGCGTCGTCGATCTCGACATACCGCCTCAATTGAAACCGGCGACTTGGTTCGGAACTTTGATTCGCATCGCAATTTACATTCCCCCATCACCCTTCCCACGATGACCGGCAGTTACCTTGACTACCGTGAGATCAGCGGACTGTCAGCTTGAAACATGGACAGCTCGCTCGAACCTTCCATGGACGTTACTCACGTTTCTCCTGTCAAACGTCTCTGGCTAGCCGCGCAATCTGTACTGCGGTCTACTCT